AAAGATTTTTCCGGTAATTTGCGAAAATTAATTATGGTTTCTTTTAAAATAAAATCTAAAAATTCTAATTTTAACGTTTACAAATTTGTAAATAAAATCCCAGAAAATTTTTAAACGATTATATTTTGAGGAAAAAACTCAAATCTAGGCATTATTGGATTAATGCATGAATATTTGACAATATTCCAATTGTGCAGCACTATTTTTAGGCAATTTGGAAATGCCCGTCTGTCAACCAAATGATGGACAAAATCATTTGATTTGGCTTTTTCAAAGTTTGTTGGTTAAATATAATGCCATAAAGTAATTAGCTATGTAAATTATATTGATTAGTGTTATACTAATGCAAAATATATTCGCCGGCATTAAAATTAGTCAAATATCAAAGAAATTTATCAATATTTGCAAAAATTTATCAAAAATTACAAGGAAAATAAGTAAAAATAAGAAAATGTGTCATAGTGATGTATATTTTGTCGCAAAATATCCGTTATTCGGATACTTTTAATAATAATTAGAAATTATATGTTATATTTATACATCTGAACTAAATAGACATTTATTAAAGCCATATATATATTTATTTTTCTTAAAAGTTTGTTTTTATTGTCAAAAATCTATTATATACAAAAATATGAAATTAAGAAAACCGAATCAACGAATATTTTATCCTAATTGTACGCAATACTAACACATAAAATGACAGCCATATTGTACAGTGCTGCCAACTTAAACATAAATCAGCACAATAGTTAATATACGTTTATTATTTGTTTATGAATATCACAATTTTATTAATGGTTTTTAAGGCTAAAGTGTGCTTTAACTATTGAGTGCATTAAAAGCAAAATAAGATTTTTTTATAAATACAAGCGTTATATTCTTTACTGTCACAAACTTAATACTTCATTGGTCCTCTTGGGGATCTTTAACTATATCAACAACACGAATATGAAACACAAAAATACGTACATACATACATATTTATAGAAAAACTTTGATCAGTAATTGCAAGTGTCATAGATAGAACGATCATCTGATCCGAGCGATATGATTTCAATTCTATATAATGATTAGAAACAAATTTCAATTCCACTTTAAAAAATACAAGAGATTTTTCTTTTTCTGAAAATGTAGAATATATGTTAATAGTTCTAATAATCGGAGTGAAATTTTATACCTGGTAATGGTATTCCAGTAGCGAAATAATCATCAATTATAAATAAAATATTAATGTATATCTGACGCCTCTAATTCAAATACACAGAAAAAAATATATTTCAAAAATTGTTTACTAGTATTTTTAAGAACGTCTGGAAATTTCGAGTTAACAATATTAGTTTAAACTTATAAATTCAACAAACTTTCCTCTCAAAACAAATTTCAAAATCAACAAAATAAACACACAAAAATATTTACTTGACTAAACACCAAAATATATAAAAAATTTAATTAATTGACTCGCGGATGACTTCATGCACTGAGAAAATTTAAGAAAAAAAGTAAGTTTAAGAAAAATATAACGACATAGAAAGCAAATCCGTTTATTTCTATTTGAGTATACATTTCACAGATATGGCAAATACCATTAAGCATTTGTTTATAAATGCAGTAAATAACAAGGATGGGAGTGTCATTATATTATGTGAATTTGCTAGCTAAAGGTGTTAATAACAAATGTCAATTAAAAAATGATCTCAAACGTATTAAAAATATGGAGTATTTTTGAAATTAAATTTAATTTGTATAACGAATATTATTTGGGCTTATCGAATTGCTATAGAAAAATAACGTAAAAATGCTAATAAAAGTGCAAATAGTAACCATTAATAAATAACGTATTTATTTAAAAAACATACACGTTTTCACTTTAAATTTTGTCGATATGTATGTATATATAAATACATACATATCTACATATACATATGAATATTATTTCATTTATTTGTTTAAACAAGAAATAAAAACGTTTTGTTTATCTTTTATTATTATTTTGGTTTTGTTTCAACTGAAACATGATTTTGGTTTATTCTTTTGATTTTTTTTGTATTCACATTCGTCCAATACATTGTATTTATTTTATTCAAACTTAATCGTACATCTACATACATACATACAAACATATGTGCATATATACATATGTACATATATATATACTTTATTTTTTACGAACTTCGCCTAGCAAAATTCCAGACAGAAGCAGTTTTTTTTCATATTATTTCAATTGTTGTTGCTATTTCAGTGAGACATAACAACATGATTATATGAACCTAATATACGAGAGTAAACTGAAAATTTTCCAGTTAGAAAATGTTTAACAAATTATTTTCTTAGAAAATAAAACTATTTCCAAGAACCTTTTCATTAAAAGTATGTTATTTATTATGATTTTATACAAAAAGAAAACTTTTCATACTGCCCCATAAAAATTTTACAAAATTGTATTTATTACGTTCACATAGTATCTATAACGTTGTTGTTGTATCTTCTATAACAAACAATTTTATTCACACACGAACTTGTATCACAGAGTACGAAGGCATTAACAGCAAAAATACACAAAATTGTAAAAATCTACAAAAGCAAAAGATACAAAAAAAAACAGCAGAATTAATAAAGAGAAAAATAAAATGTATAAATCTGACAATACGAACAAGTGTTTGGTTCAAACGAACACGTCTAAACGTTTTTAACGAACATGGACTAATTTTCAACGAACTCAAAGTTTAAACCCTTTAGGAAATATACATATAACAACTAGGAAATTTAATAAAAATGTTGGAACTAGAGGAAGTTGTAAGATTATTTTATATCCTTATCGCCAAATTATATATCAGAAATCACCAAAAATGGCTTATTTGAATGAATAATATAATGGAATAATATATACTCCTGACTAACTGACAGCCCGTTAGTACGACAATACGAGACCAAAGAAGACTAATGTATAACTGATAATTTCATTTAAGAATAAGAGGTATAACTGGAATGATAAATAAGGTTCTTCTGTTACCTTTATGTTTTTGTGTGAAGCATATAAGTCATATCCAGGGTCTCGACCCTGAATAATGTCTAATTTGTATTACAGAATCTGCCTAAAGGCTTAACAATAAGTAATTAAATCTTAAAACTAAAAGTTCTTACACTCTGAAGTGTGCGTAATTGGTAAATTTATCATCATTCTAGAGGATGGAAAAAGATTCCTCTTTTACCAGTGAAACTTACAGATCATTGTGGAACGTCTTGGATTCAATACGACGACGTCAAGTCATCTTTCTAATTGAACGTAACTAACATGATCAGACTGCGGTAGACACCCCACTGTTTAGTGAAAACATAACATGTATACTTTTTAACTGGTTCACCCGTAATCTCTAGTTTTTCAACTCCTTCTTTTATAATCGTTTAATTGATTAGATGCTATTTATAGATTCTCGTGCGAGCTGATAAAGGCGATATCATCAGCAAGATATCGTAGAAATTTTGTGTGAAAAAAGTGCTTAATAAACCATAAATAAATTGTTTATCAACTGCATAAACGCAAATCCAAGGTATAAATTAAATAGAGTGTAGGTAAGAGAACCCATAGGCAATACACTTAACTTTGAATTAACGGTTCCATTGCTAAGACTCTGGTAATTTATGGAAATATGGGGGCAGTAAAGATGTACTTAATTCAAATCTTAATATATTTACCGACAGCCAGAAGGTAATTAGGGCGATACCAGATGATAGAATTAAATCTAAGGCCGTATTGGATTGTAAGAAAGCTTTATCTGAATATTCTCCCAGAGGTAAGGTTTGCATTTATATACAGATATATGAGTAGTCGGCTACGAAAGGGCGAATGTAACTGCTTTAAAGGGAAGGGAGCTCGAGGTAGTTAACTTGACAAACGAAAAAACCATTTGACGCAACAAAAGCTGAACTAAAAATAAGGCCTCTTGGTGGGGTAGAATCACAAAGATCATGATGAGAAATCTTTTCCAAATGAACAACGTACGTATTCTGAGTGGACACACAGGATTACGAGCACATTTATACAAAATTGGACGTGCGGATTTAGACGAATGTAGAGCATGCGGAGAGGACAGTAGAACTCTGGAGCACTTTCATTGCCACTGTCAGGCATTCGTCGATGTTAGATCCAAGTATCTTGGAAGTTATATTATTCCGGAAATAACATTCCTGATTAACACTGATTGGAAAATTCTTAGGAATTACGTCCAGGAAACTGAGTTTCTGAATATTGAAAAATAGTACATTCAGTGAAATTTTTTTTCATGAAAAGGAGCGCACAACAAGTCCGATAGTGGCCTATATGTATTTTTTCGGATTTGACCAACCTAACCTAATCCAAATTGATGTGAGTACATCTCAACTCAACTTTTTCTCAGCAGGTGTCTTCCTAACCTCAAAATCATACAATGTTCCCCAAGTATATTGAATGACATTTATAGACGATCTCTTTGAAATATCGTAGAACAGAAGACTACTTTTGCGAAGTAGAGGAATTTATGAAAAATGGAGCGATAAGGAGAGCTAAACGGATTCATATAAAGTCGTATTTTAACCTTCACATAAATAATGATTGAAACAAACATTATCGTTACAGTGGTACATAATCTAAATGAACTAAATTATTTTTTATATACAGATATATGAATGTATGTTAATGTCTCATATTTACAACAACAATAAAATGGGCTCGTTTTAAAACCCAAAAATTCACTAGAAATCAATTTTCGATGTAAACAAACAAATCTTATCAGTTATTTACTTACAATTCCTATTGGGATGGTATGAAACAGACAGTATGAGGTTTAGGTTCGTTTTGTACATTATACGTCTGACAACTTCTCGCTATCAGCAACAACAACAATAACAACGATAGCAGCAACAGCAATACCCAGCACAAACAAACAACAAGCTAGCACGACAACAACAGTTCGGTTTTTTTCTTTTTTTGTATTTATTTCTTTTTTATTTTTCAATAGAGTATCTACAATAATGTTGTGAGAGTGTGTGTACGGATACGTGTGTATGTCTCGTGTTAATTTTAGAAAATTTCCTCAAATAAAATTCATTTCAATTCAGTCACTGGTGGCAAACGGGTGAAGTTATTTTTAAATAGCGCAACGTTGTTTTGTATGAAATAAAATTCAAATTAACAAAAAAAAAGAAGAAAAAAGTGAATGAATTTAAATAATTTTTGTAATACAGAAAAAAAATGTACATACCTAGTTAAATATTTTTTATAAATTTAAAAAAAAAATTGAATTGAAATTAAAAGAAAAAACGTGAAAAAGGTTGTGAATTACAAAAAATACAAGTAAAAAACGTGAAAATTCCTAAGAGAGAAGAAAGAAAGAAAAAAAGTAGAATTGTTTGTACGTGTTTAAAGTTTAACAGACCAGAAAACACGTTTCAGTCTCATGAAAATATAAAATAAATATTAAATAATTTTAATTAAAAAGAAATCAAGGTTTTAAAAGACAAAATATTACAAAAAACAGGTGTTTTAAATTTATTTTTAAATTAATAAATGAAAACAAAGTTAAGGAATTACAAAAAAAACCGGGCGGTGCCTAGTGTAAAGTAAAAAAAAAATTATAAAAAATATACAATTAATAAATAAAAGAAAAATCAACAGCAACAACAACAACAATAGCAGCAGCTCTACAAACGCAACAACAACAAGCATATAAAACGCATGGAAAATTCCAAAAGTTTAAATACATATTTCACAAGTAAACAAGTTTTTTTATTAATAAAACAACAACAACAGCAGCAACAACACAAACATAAAAATAAATAAAATAAACACAAAAATATACAGTGTTAATAAAAATTTAAAGAAAGAAAAAAAATTAAATGCTCACGTTTTTAAAGCATTAATTTTGGTTGGTGTAACAAAGAAAAAATTCACAAAAATTTAATTTCGAAATCAAATAATAATAAAAAAAAAGTTGAAAAAGAGCATACAACAATAGCAACAACAAAATCAGCACACATACACAATTAATTTCGTGTGGACTTTGGTATTTTTTTTTTTTTTTTTTCTAAATGGTATCGATGTGTGTAGTAGAAATATCTAGTGAATAAATACGAAAAAAATACAGTGAGAGTTTGCTTAACAAAAAAAAAAAAACCAACAACGAAAACGTTTTTTTTTCGTTTTATAATTGTTTGCTCTCAACGCGTAAGTGTCTTGTTTTATTCTCTCAGTGTAAGAGTAACTGTGTGTGCAGGTGTGTAATGTAAGTTGGTCGTGTGCACACAATATACAAATAAACATACATACGTGAGAGAGTGTTATAAGCGAACGAATAGTGTTACGCGTGCAAGTTACAACGTAAGAATTTCACTGAAAAAAATCATTAGAAAAACAAACGACAAATTACACCTGTCTTTATAATAAATTAAAAGAAAGTTTTAGCAACTACAAAAAATCAGTGTAAAGCATTTAAATTAAAGAAAATTTATCATAAAAAAATTCATCAAAAATTCCCACCTTTTTGAAAAAAGCAAAGAAATTAATCACAACCCCATAAAATCAAACGTGTTCAATGTCTTAACTAAATTACCGTAATTACTAACTGTTGCTCTCCTTAACTCTCAATTTTAACGGTTAAACTCTGAGCTCTAGTGTTATTCCTTAAAACAAAAACAAATTAAAAAAAAAACACAAGGCAGCCAGACATACAAACATAAATATTGTTTGTCTCAGTTTCAATTTTACTCTCCACAAAACAACAACCTGTTTGAGTGTATATTTCTAAAATTGTTTTGTACTGTGTTTAATAATAAAAAAAAACCTCTAAAAAATAACAAAATTTTTTAAAAACTTATTTAACAACAAAAAAAAAAACCATCAACATTCCACCACAACAGCAAATTGTTTTAAAAGCTTCTACGCTGCCGCCAACAATTACATCCTGTTCATTAGCAACTCCTGTTTTAGGTTCAAAACATACTACTTTCTTCTTAACATCAACATCATCAGCACCCACTTTATTGTCGTCATTGACGTTGAACCTTAGTGATATTTCGGGCCCACGCTATAACAACAACAGCAACATCATTGAGAAGCAAACGATTATTAGCAGGCGTCAGAAAATTAAAAACGAAATTATGGAACCGTATTGGAGCGAAGCAAATGGACATGCTCCACACTCGGTGAAGTATGAGAAGTAAGTTTTTCTTTTCTTTCTTCTCTATTTTATTCTATTCTGTTTAGTTTTATTTTCTATATATTTCTTTTTTGTATTTATTTATTTTTTCAAATATATTCCTTATATAAATATTATACCTCTATATATACATAAATGCATACTTATGTATCTATATATATATTATTTACGTATTTCTTTATATAGTTTATTTATAATTTTTTTTTTGTTAGTGTCTTATGTATTGTTTTGTTAAAACTCAAGGTCGTTTAAATAATAGTAGCTATGTATATACTTTATATACATACATACATAAATATTTATAAAATATTCCTTAATATATATAACTGTATATACATACAACATAATTGTCTCGTTTTTAAGGACCATTAAATTTTGATTACAATTATACAAACATATTTTAAAAACTTTGTTTGGTAAGATATTATTTATTAATTACTAAAAAAAGAACAATTAAAATTCCATACTATTTCCTTCAATATATTAAAATTGCAAAAATGTAATACAATTCACGAATATTCCCGAGTATAATGAAATCGTTGCAATAAGCATGACTACGGTCACGTTTAGCCTTCAACTCAAACTACGCAGATATAACATATATATTGAACTTCACATCAGACTTTTTATCTTATATTTTAAAATATGAACTTTATCTAAAGACCCTAAACATGATTGATGGGATTGTGTTAAACAATAAAATAATTAGAAACCCTGAAACATGCAATGATTACACAGTTCAAAAAAGTCGAAACCTAGATACAAAGATATATTTTTCTGAATCCTAATGTGATCTCAGAAAAGTCGAGAGCTTAAATATTCAGAATACAAAACAGATTTTAAAAATAAACATGACTTCACGTTATAGTAACATCTCAAATATAACCAAATAATAAACTACACTGTTGGAAATTTCATTAAGACGTCTTATGGAAATACCACACGACTTGTCCGATGAATTCGTCATTCTCTTTATAATCTATGCAATTTTATTGTAAATAAATCGAAAAAGATTAAAGAAAAATGCCACTTGCTATATAAAACCTTAACAATCTAAATAAATTATAAAAAATACTTTAACAATAAATTTTATTTTCAAATAAAAATAGATACATTCGATAAATTAAATGATAAAATATTCAGTGAAATTTGAACATGGGTCACAGATGACCTTTTAAAGGACACACTTTCTTTGTTACAACCATATACACGTGAACAGAACAGACAATAACTAACAACAATAAAACCTAACCCTGCAGTTCGGATTGACCGTAATGCATTTAGTGATTTTATTCAACAGATCTAAGTAAACCGATTTGTAAAATAGTATGTACCGGGAGGAAGTATAAGTCTGGTGGGTTATTTATTTTGCAATGATGTTTAAAGTGTATTATTTATATCTCTGCATTATAAAGAGTACATAACTCGATTAATTAGATATTTTAGGGGAAAATATTCAAATGGACACATAGACTTAAAAAAACTGTTGGGAACGACAAGCAATCAGCCAAAGCGAGTCCTCTTAAATGTTATTTTAAGAATATGTAAACCTACATAGTAAAATACAAAGAACATGAAGATTATTTACTACCAGACTGGTATAACTTAAAAAACATTGTTATGAGAAAAATCGGTTCTAAATGTCTTATGACATCTATCTTAAAAATAGACTATGGACTAAACTATAGAAGAGACTATGGACTACACTATAGACCAAACTATAAACTAGACTATATACCAGACTATAGAATAGGCTATTAACTAGACTATAGACTAAGTATAGGCTAAACTATTAACATAGACTAGAATATAGACTAGGCTATAGACTACAATAAACCAAACTATAAACTAGACTATAGAATAGACTAAAGACTAAACTATAACTATAGACTAGACTATAGACTAGACTATAGACTAGACTATAGACTAGACTATAGACTAGACTATAGACTAGACTATAGACTAGACTATAGACTAAGACTATAGACTAGACTATAGACTAGACTATAGACTAGACTATAGACTAGACTATAGACTAGACTATAGACTAGACTATAGACTAGACTATAGACTAGACTATAGACTAGACTATAGACTAGACTATAGACTAGACTATAGACTAGACTATAGACTAGACTATAGACTAGACTATAGACTAGACTATAGACTAGACTATAGACTAGACTATAGACTAGACTATAGACTAGACTATAGACTAGACTATAGACTAGACTATAGACTAGACTATAGACTAGACTATAGACTAGACTATAGACTAGACTATAGACTAGACTATAGACTATAGACTAGACGATAGACTAGACTATAGACTAGACTATAGACTAGACTATAGACTAGACTATAGACTAGACTATAGACTAGACTATAGACTAGACTATAGACTAGACTATAGACTAGACTATAGACTAGACTATAGACTAGACTATAGACTAGATTATAGACTAGACTATAGACTAGACTATAGACTAGACTATAGACTAGACTATAGACTAGACTATAGAGTATACTATAGACTAGACTATAGTGTATACTATAGACTAGACTATAGTCTAAACTATAGACTAGACTATAGTCTAAACTATAGATTAGACTATAAACTAGACTATAGACTACTATAAACTGTAGACTAAACTATGGACTTCACTATAGACTAGACTATAGACCAGACTATAGGCTACACTATAGACTGCACTATAGATTAGACTATGGACTAGACTATATATTAAACTATAGACTATACTATAGACTATATAATATATAACATACTAGAATACAGACTATAGAATACACTACAGACAATCTATAGAACGAACTTATCAAAAGTTTATAAGTTGGAAAAAGTGCCGAAAATGACCTGCGGCTACCGCAGTTTTTGAATATCAAAACATACTGAAAAAGTATATTTTGTAGTAATCAGTTCAAAAACCCCTAATTTTGAATTAAACCAGTTTTGTAGTAAATGAGCAATATTTACAGATAAATTTATACTATACACAGATTAATGACCACTACTATCAAAACAATCAAAACAAATAAAAACCAAAAAACAAACAGATGCAGCAAATATAACATAAACAAAGTTTAATAAAAGTACGTGAGGTTGACATTTTTGACATGTTAACTTGGACAAAAAAATTCCCCCTTAGTTGTAAAAAAAACGGAATAAACTTTAAAATGTATGACAATTAATTTAAAAACAAGGTTACGTTACACACAAAATGGCTGTTTTCGTATTTGAATGTGTGTTTTTGATTTGTTTTTCTCTTTCTTTAATTTAAATATCACGTTTATTCTATCGTGCGTTTTATTATACAACATCAGCGGAAAAAAAAATCATGAATAATGTATTATAAATTCAAAAATAGAATTTGTGTTGTTTTTTTCTTTTTTTGTTTTGGGTGTTTTAATGATGCCCACGTTTCTGTTATACTGTTGGTTTATTTCGCTTTGTTTTTTTTTGTTTTCTATCAATTTTATATAAAATTTATTTATAAATAATGCAAATAAATAGACATTTTTATGGTTTGAATAATAGAGTGTTTATATACATATGTGTGTGTGTATATGTGTCTACTAGTATTTGTTTATTTTTATTTCATTATTAAAATATTCGTTTTGTTTTTATAAAATTTTTTCAAATTCATAGCTCAAGTATTATTTTTAGAATAATACTGAATACATACAACAATTTTATAGTTCATTTAAAAACGAAAAAAATAGATAATTTAGCAAATCATTAATGTAAATTAATATAATAAGTTTGCATAAATTGCTCACGTTTATTTGACAGGCGTTGTTTTCAGTTAGAGACTTAAGTTCTAACAAGTTTTTTTTTAATTAAGTTATTGACATTTTTAAAAGTGGATTAAGTTAAGTTATTTAAAAGTTTTAAAAGTGAAGTAAATAATAGATTTTTATAACAAAAAGGCATGGAAAATAACTGATTTGCAAGTTCCGCAAATGTTTTGAACCCATCACTTAATAAAAATTTCAAATGGTATGAACCGAATGTCTGACTTATACACATACTGTCATCTGTCTTTGTCGATGTACTTTTTTCGCACACTGTTTATTATATTGCTGTTGTTTTATATTGACCTGGCAACAATAATAATTTTTTATTAGTTATCTTGTTTATGTTAAATAGTTGTTTGTTTGTCTATACAATTTTTTATTAAAATTTATGTTAGAAATTTCTAGTAGCAGTCTCGGAACGTGTAAACACATTTATTAAGCAAAAAAAAAAGTTGTTTGTGTTTTAAAAAAATGTCGAAGGAAACGTGATTTGTTATAATCGTTTGAATAATAATAATATTTTTATTGAGTTGTTTATTTATTTTTTTGAAATAAAATGAAAAATATTTTTAATTATTATAGAATTTTAAATGTATTTGAAAACAAATAAGAAATTATAAGCCAACAGAGTTTGCCGAAAATATAACACCCTACATCTTTATAAACATTTTAATTAATTAAAAAAATGTTTCATTACAAATGCATTTAATTAAATTTTATAATATTTCTGTTGTACATACATACATACATATTCAAATTAAATGACTCAGTGATATTTTTTCTTTATTTAGTTTTATATTTTTTTTTCAAATTGATGACTAAATAACAAAATTTTGATTTTAATGAGTAAAAAAATTAAGAAATTTTTATTTAATAAAAATTATAAAAATGACGCATTGAATTTGTTTGTGGTTTATATCTTTATTCTGTATATCTGTTGTTGACATATAGAACAAACAAACAAGAATTATTATCAAAAAGAAAGGGGAAAAAATACTGATATCATTTGTTATCAAAAAAAACAAAAGCAATAAACGTTTTTCATATACTCATACTAAAACAACAATTATATAAATAAATATAAATCTATCAGATACAATAAACATAGTACGTCAATGCTGCTATAAACACATATACATAAATACTTATAAATTTATACAAAAAAAAAAAACAATAATAACAAA